CCTACCAGCATGTAGGAGGCAATGGCAGTCCTCTGCTCAGGAATTACTCCCAAGGTCTCAAAAGCTCTCTCAGTCTCTGCCAGCCAGTATTGGGCCTCTTCGAACGAGGATCCCCCTGAAAAGGTAGAAGGGTTCAGTCTCCTGTACCTCTCTATGAAGCCGGGGTCGATCAAGGAGGGAGCGGGGTCCCGAGGTAGAGGGACTGGGACCGGCTGAGGGTGAACTGGGGGACCCTGTGGTGGAACCTGCTGATGTGGTGGGGGCACTGGAAAGTGCTGTGGCGGCGCCTGCTGGTACTGTGGCTGTGGTACCGGGTCGTACCGCGGCTGTGGTGCCGGTTGGTACTGTGGAGGAACAGGCTCCTGCCGGGGTGGTACGGAATCAGCCTGCTGTAGTGGGGGCTCAACCTGCGCTAGCGGAGGAGGTCCGGGTAACTCCCTTCTCTCCTCTTGCCTTCGCTGGGCATCTACGAGAGCCTCCACCATCTCATACAGTCTGTCAAGATCCTCCCGAAGCGAATTATCCTGAGCCGCTCGATTTAGTGGGGGCCTTCCTCTCCTCATTCCCGTGTACCTGCATTCACAAGGAATGATTGAATAACGATATATCGGTGAGTATTTATCTAAGGCACTATTGTGTAAGGGATGGGTCCGAGGAAATGCGGCTCTGATACCAACTGAAGCAGCCCCGGTAATTCAAAAAAATGGAAATTATATTATAAATATTAAATGCGGAAGCGAGATCAAAATTTCAGTTAACATCCCTTACACGAAAACCAAAAACGTACTTAAAGTATAAAAGATTAAACTAACTAAGAGAGAAACTCGAAAATAAAACTATGAGTATGACTACAGAGTCTCTAGGCATCCCCTTCGTCGTCCTCCTGCGGAACGGGCTCGGGAACCATGTCTTCCTGATCTAAAATGGTTAAATAAGGAGTGAGCTATACTAGCCCAGTAAGAACATCACGATATCTCACCGTCACGGAGGTAAAGGTGGGTAGAAAAACACAAAAGACCAATGGAGCATGATTTACAACAAATCCTTTTTATTTATGATAAAACCTTTACCATCCACTTAGCTCGGTGAAATTCATGAAGCAATATAAGAAAACAATAACATTATCACAAACATGGAATAATATAAGCTGTAAAACATAGCACTTATCACGCCTTTTGTAATTCAATCATTATACAACATATCCTTTTCTCATTTACCAGCCTACTAGTATCCATGGGGGTCCATAGGGGTCCCGCTACCCGTTAACCTTTAACATTCATAATCAGTTTCCAGGGCCGTCCCCATACCCCGTCCGGTATGGGCGCCAAAACCATAAACCTCAATACCCCGTCCGGTATGAGGGTGAAACGGGCCGTCCCCATACCCCGTCCGGTATGGGCGCCAAAACCATAAACCTCAATACCCCGTCCGGTATGAGGGTGAAACGGGCCGTCCCCATACCCCGTCCGGCATGTGAGACCACAATCCCGGTAGGGTTCCCTACGGACCCGGTCCGTCCACTATATCCCAGGATATCTAGTCAGGCTAACCCCATCATACAATTATCAGTCTACACAATCTTTCATTTTCCTTTTCCTCAATAAGCATCGTCAATTCACATTTAAGAAAGCAAATCGTAATTCATGCCAAACAGACAACATACAGTATCAGTTCTTCAGTCTTTCAACCCATAAATAAATAAAACAGTAATATATGCACTCGAAACTATAAAATGAACACATCAAACCTCATAATGCATTTAAAGCTGTAAAACAGGCCAAATAACAGTAAATCATAAATCACACTAGACTCGGGCTCCATTAGCAACCTTAAGCAATTTCACACATGCGTTAATTCAAGAAATACTGTTTTATCATTTTGAACTTTAATACCGTGATAGGAAATAGGGTGAGGAGTCCTTACTTGTTTTCGGGATCCAAATACGATTCACAGTGCGCCTACAAGCCGTCCCTAATTTTCCCTGAATTTTTTCCCGGGAAACTGAAACACACTAACGGTACCTGCACGTGTTCCAAAAAAAACCCAAATTAGGCCCAGGGCCTCTTTCGGCCCAAATCGCAACTCCGGCACGGCGGCTCCGTCGTGCTCCGGCGACGGCGCCGCCGCTGGCGGCGGCAAGTCGCCTCGGGTTGGCTGTTTCCGGCCGTTTTCGGCCGGATTCGGCCACACTCGCATCGGTCCCTGTGAGAAAACAACCCTAGGGCCCTCGGGGGGCCAAAAAATCACGGAAAAACGGAGCTTACCGGCGGCGGCGCTCTCGGGTGCGGCGGCTCTCCGGCGAGGTTCGTGTTTTGGTGATTCGGCTCCGATCAACCTGTAGAGAAAAGAATGGTGATCACGGTGATATAAAAATTGCATCAAACGGAGGCCGGGAATGGCCTCGTCGGAGGCAAAAATCGAGAGGGGGCGCGGCGGCGCCGCTGGTCTTCGGCCGCGTATTCCGGCCGTTTGGCCGGGATTTTGGCTTCGATTTGGCCATAGGAGGAATCAGCGTGGAAAAACAAGTCGGGGGTATGAAATTTATCTCGATCGGCGGTCGGAAATTTCCCCGGTGCGGCGGCGGGTGGCGGCGGTCGGCCTCTGGTTCGTCTTCTCCGGCGAGCGGCAGGCGGCTAGGGTTTGTGGTCTGGTGTGGGGGTTCTATTTATAACCCCTTGCCCTTTGATCTCAGCCGTCCATTTTGTTTTAATCTGGGCCGTCCGTTTTTGATTAAATCTGGGCCGTCCGTGCGATTAAATCTGGGCCGTCCGATCACGCGATTGATCTGGGCCGTCCGATCGCGCCCACGCGGATCGCCAACGTGGCCCGTTCAGGAGCGACGTGGTCTTGCCACGTGGCAGGCCCCGGTTGGCCGGGACTGCTGACCGGGCCTGCTGACGTGGCTGCCGACGTGGCTTTTTTTTTTTTTTTTTTTTTTTTCCTCGGTCCGGGCGCTACACATAGTCTCTCTTAATAAGCAAACAAGTTATGTTTAATAATTATTGTCTTTTGATCATAATAAAGATGAGGCCAAAAGTATTTAATTCATACAACACGACACTCTTTAATAGAGTCATAGATTTATTCATCTAACACCTTCTACTTACAAACAAAGACCAAGGAATGGTATATAGTGTATATGTATGGAACTAGTGCGAAAATCTATCAGGAGAGTATGGTTGACTAAGCCAAGATTAAACTATCATATTGGTATACGGGAAATAGTTAGTTGGATAATTAATTACATCAGTAGGCCTATAAAAGAGGAATGGAACTATCTGTATTAATCAATGAAATTAGAATTCTCTCCTATCTGCTACTTTTTTTACTTGTTTTTTCACAGTTAAATCTTTCTCGTTTTTCTGAATTCTTTTTTCTCACAGTTAAATCTCTCTCTTTCTGGATTTTCTCTCATCTCTTTCTCTCCCTCTCCCTCTGCTATTTCCCTTCTCTATTATGTATTCTGTCTTCAAGTTTTCTTATATAATTTGTATTAGAGCCAACGACCTGACACCATGATAGTTTCTGAAAACAAGAGGACCCAAGAATCTAAAAGGCTGGAAGAAGTTGCCAAACAAATTAATTATTTGGAGAAAATGCTGGATAAAAAATCAAGCAAATTGAGGCAATTACTAATTAGTCAGACCTAAAATCTGCTGGGGTTGTACTGATAGAACTAAACAAGAATTTGTTACCACAAGAAGGCAAAATTGTAGAGCCAAATCAAATGAAAGAAATATTGCAAAAAAAAAATCTACTTGAATCAAGTATCTTTGGAAAACCCATCAGTGATCATAGAGGAAGTGACTATCACTAGCTTGGCGCAAATGATGATAAAGATGGTTGGGGGTATGCGTGATGCTGATGATTCCACTTTTTTTTATTTTTATTTTTTTTTTTTATTGGAGATAATGATGCTGATGATACAAAGAGGATATTCAAAATGTGTGTAGACCAAATATTGACCATTATGATCTTAACTTGGCAAGGTCTCCCTCTTATTAACAAAGGTCTCCCCATACACCTTTACAAATAAGGTATGACTACAAATGTAGGCAGGGGCTCAAGAAATCTAGTGTTGGTGAAGGCTTTAGGCATGCAATTTAAATCTTCTCACAAGTCGTACTTCGTTGGATCCTTCTAAGAAAATTTGGTTGTATTGGAAATTTTACCCAACAAATTGGACGGCGACCTTTCAAGAATTCTATTTTAAAGAAATTGATTTAATTTAAAGTTTTACAATGGACAAATTAATTAAATCTTTATGAATAAAAATAAACCTCTACATTTAATTGATTAGATAATAAATGCACATTAAACACAACTCAACTTTCTAATGATAATATATGGGAACACGTAATTTAAATCGAATTTACAATCTCTTACGAAAACACACAAGTACCTGTCATTCAGTTAAAAAATAATTGATCAAGTTTTTATCGTTTTAGGAAGAGATCAAATACAGTCATTACTTTACTATTAATCGCCTTCCTGAATGGTTAATATTAATGCTAAATATAATTGCATTAATGAAATTCAACAAATTTGGATTCTAATGTTTGAATTTAAATATTCTGTTACGAGTTGGAGAATAGATATTCATTCCATGTGGTGACGGCAAAATTATAACAATTTTGGAGTTCAAGAAGGTGGAAATTAATTTTTTGTCCAAATGATACTTTTCAATCTTGTGTGGTAGTTATATCTTAAGCCACAATCAAAGATATTTTTTATTGAGGTGGATCTTAAGTTAAAAAAAAAAATACAATAACTACACAAAATTTTCTTTATTTTTCAACAATCATAAGCTTTATAAACTTATGAATCTTATTAAAAAATAATAATAAATAAATAAAGATAACCAAATAAGTTGCTTTTCTATTATGAGTGGACCGACACTGGGGGCCTTGCTAGGCAATCAGCAAAGATTCTTTTTGGATCTTGATAATGTTTTTTGTTTTTGTTTTCTCTTTAAAAATAAAATTTAAAATGAAACTAATAGAAAATTTGAAAACAAAAGTAAAGTTGTTTTCCATGTTTTCATTGTTTTATTTCCAAAAGATAATTTTTCGTTATTTTATAAAATTATTTTTTGTTTTTGTTTTTTGAAATTAAAAACTAAAAAATATTTTAAATAACTCAAGTGTAAGAAATCTCCATTCAACTTTAATACGGAAGATATCCATCTAATCAATGACATACCCTTTCAGCAATGCTGCGAGGATGAGTAGCACAGCCACGCTTGGCACGAATTTTGCATGGGACAGAATCCTCAGGGATGTTTAGTAGTTTCTCCACTGTGGCCATCTCAAGAGATGTTTGCGGCAGGCTAAACTGAAAGAAGAAAATGGATCAGATATTTTTATTTATAATTCCAATAGGAAATATCATGGTTATTAATCATAATCAAGGTAAGCAAACAATTTTGATCCACAGGAAAATCGTAAGCCGTAAGTTTATCAACTTCTAAATCATGCTTCTATCTACAAACCTGGGAGAAAAAGGTATTTGTGGGTTGTAATTTTCAATGGATAAATTTTTATCCTTTCCATTTGATTTTTTTTTTACTTTTTTTTTTTTGGATAAAAGAAAAAATTTGATTAGATCTTCAATCTGTTGTGATTATCCCAAGTATGAAAACCTATTAGTCACAAGATGTTCCTTTCACATAAAAACGTCAAAATTATTCTAATTTAGTTATTGAATTAAATATTATAAGCAAACCCATCATCAATCCATCATACATTCACAAAATAACGAGATATACATCTTTAACGAAATTTAAACTCGTAATATTTAACTTTTTTATTTGATGTTTAAAATAATTTAATATTTTTTAATCTTATTTTATCTCATATGTGAATGGGACAACATGGAGAGCATCAAAGAAACTCAAATTAGTGCATAATGATGCATGTGGTCCTATAAAAATCCCTTCACTTGACAATAGCAGATATTTCATCTTATTTATTGATGATTACTCTAGGATGACATAAGTATATTTCATGAAAAATTGGTTCGAAATCTTTAAAATTTTCTACAAATTCAAGAGTTTTGTTGAAAAAGAAAGTTCCTGCCAACTCAAGAATCTCATAAGTTATAATGGGGAGGAGTTTATGTCCTAAAAATTCAATAAATTTTGTGATGGGGAATATATACATCATCAACTTATTATTCTATATATTGCACAACAAAATGGTATATCAGAAATGAAGAACCGAACTGTTATGGATATGGTAAGATCAATGTTGAAGGATAAAGGTTTACCTAAAAAGTTTTGGGCTGAAGTATACATCGCTTTATCTCCAAAATTAGCTATCTACGAAAGCTGTTGAAGGATGTACACCTATTGAAGCATGGTCTAGACATAAACCATCTGTTAGTCACTTAAGAGTATTTAGGTGTATTTGTTACATTTATATACCGGCAAAAAAACGACACAAGCTTGATGATAAAACATAGAAAGGAATCTTTCTTGGCTACAATTCTCAGTCACAAAGTTATAAAGTGGATAACTCATACACTTGTAAAGTTCAAGTTAATAGAAATGTTGTGTTTGATTAAAATGTTTCTTGAAATTGGGAGCATAATAATATTGAAAAGACGTATGTCACAACTCAACCATTCCAGTAAGAAGAAGCTTGCCCACCAGTACCAACATCAGTCAATAAACCAGGTCAACATTCCCAGGAAGAGACTAGTAGTAGCTCTAATGATACTGATTCTCCTAAATATGAGTATAATAGTTTATCTGACACATTACCTAAGAAGCTTTGGAGATTGTCAGAACTATATAGAGATACTCAATAAATTCCTGATCTTGATGCTGAACAATATGAGTTTTATTATTTTACAACTCATGAACTAAATTACTATGAAGAAACATCTCAATATGAAGAATGGAGAACTGCCATAAAGGAAGAAATTCGTGTAATCGAAAAAAGTCACACGTGGGAATTATTAACCAAACTACCAAACAAAAGTGTTATTGGTGTGAAATGGATATTTAAGACAAAACTTAATTTAGATGGTTCAATTCAAAAGTACAAAGCCAGATTGGTAGTTAAAAGATATTTATAACAATTTGGCGTGGATTACAATAAGACTTTTGTTCCAGTATCGTGACAAAATATGGTCTAAATTATTATTGTTCTGGTAGCACAAGGAAGATGGAAGATTTATCAATTTGATGTGAAATCTATCTTTCTTAATGAATTTCTTCAAGAAAAAATTTATGTTGAACAACCCACCAAAATATTTTATGATAGTAATAGCTATAACAAAAAATCCAGTTCAATATAAAAAGACTAAACATATCAAAATTAAATATCGTTTCGTTCAAAAAGTTGAAAATGAAGAAAAAATCAATGTAATCCATTACAGCTCAGAAGAACAGTAAGCTCATATATTCACTAAAACACTTCCAAAAAGGAAGTTTGATTTATTCAGAAATAAACTTTGTATTCAGAGGAATTTCTTCAAGGAGTGTTAAAAAATAAAAAGAAATTTTTCAGTCATTATTTCATAATTACTATAATTAAATTACCTATAATTTAAATGGTATATAATATAAATTATTTATAACCATATGAATGTTTATGGTTGTAATTTATCCTTTACTTGTATAAATAAGTGCATGTAATTCATTAAATATAATACCAAATAAAGAAACAAATATTACAAAAAAATACATTCATTCTTTCTCATTTTTTTCTTACGTTTAGCATTATTTGTACAATTAACTCCAATATTTCCAACAAGATTGTACCAAATTATTCTCTCATTCTTATCTCTATCTGCTACTTTAAGATTGTACCAAATTATTCTCTCATTTAATCTTTATCTTCTACTTTAAGACTGTGATAAATCATTCTCTCATTCTTATCTCCACAATTTCCTCATTGTATAAATATGGGCAAAATGCCCTCATATCAATAAAACTAATTATTATTATTTTCTCTAAACTTTACAGTATGAAGTTTATCATGGCAGCCTGTATTTCATAACTTATTTTAAAAATGAGTCTAAATCACTAAAAACGTTTTCATCGCCTGTTCTAATGAGATCATAATTATTTGTTAAGCTGTTAAATGTTACACAGCCTGATTATAATTCCTACAGCCTTTGGCTGTTATTCAATAATATCTATATTTTTACTCTTCAAAAAGGAAAAGAGAAAAAGAAGATAACTACATTATCCTTAATTTACACATTTGCATACGCATATATATATATATATCCATGTAAACTAGAAGAGATAAAGGAAAAGCATAAATTCTTGATTATCATTGTTAATTTCTTTCATGAGCTTATTAAAGTATAAACTTTTCATATATGTGCAAAATGCTACAGGTAAAGTATTTGACAGAGAAAATTGGATGGACATAAAGGATGCGTAATGACTAATTTCAGAACTGAAACTATGCCAGTCCGAACCTACAAGGAGATAAGACCATATTTGTGACAGAGTGGCAAGGTACAAAGTACTAGCAATTTATTATCTTTATTAATAGTATGCTTCCTTTTACTTTGGAAAGAAAAAAACTAATGATGCGGGAAGAAGGGCTCGAGCTGAGAGATGTTCTTATCAGTAACCTAAACCTGCAGGTCTACTAACAGTTTCCTACTTATTTAGTACTCACTTCATAGCTGATTCAGATTTTTGTTTTACTCCTGTTCCAATTTGATTGCGGAAGATGCTTATATGATCAAATGTTCTATTTTCTTTGAGATCAAACAAGTAACAGGCAAGATATGAACAACGTTAACATTTGGTACCTGGGTCTCCAAGGTGTTGAGACAAGTAAAAAAATCTCCTTCAATATTTTTAACTCGTTCATTGGGTTGAGTGGAAAATACAATTGAACTTGCATTCTCCCAGGAATCCATAGCAAAGCTAGCGGGTGGATAAGAATGTGTAGCATTTTGGTGTCTGTTACTAGTTCCATTGATAACACCCTCATTCACTTCAGAGATCTGAGAGAGAGAATCTTGCCTGGTGAAGCTCAGCTGAGAGTTCAATCTTGATACTCCATGCCTACCATTCGAGCACCCTTGTGAACTGAAGTTTTCAGTTACATTGGTAACAGAAAAACCTGCTCTCAAAGGTGTCCAAATAGATAGATTATTCAAAACCGAACAATAATGATAACAATCATAAGGAAAATAAAAATTTCAGTTAAAAATATTAAGGAAAAAAACACTAATAACAATTCATGCACATGTTCAAATTTTAAAATTTACTGAACATGTATCCATCAGGTGGATTATTTCAAAAAAAAAATGTATCCATCAGGTAAAAAGCAGACTCCACGTGAATCTAGAAATAGCACATTTAAGAGGCTTTGAAGCACAATATGTCATGCTTATAAATATTCAATCATTAGACAATAACCCAGCTTCCTTAGAGGTGTACCGCTAAAGGTACCGTCACTAGACCAGCCAGGCAGGACTGGCCGAGAGGAGCCAATCACAGAGAGAGAGAGAGAGAGAGAGAGAGAGAGAGAGAGAGAATTTTAACCCAAACTTGCACTTCTCTATGTGAAGTTCGTACTTGCTCTCCTCTTTATGATGAATAGATCTGAGTCAAGAGTATGTAGTTTTAATGTCTTCTCTCGTTAAAGATTAATTGTATTATTTCTTTACAATACAATTAATTATATTATTTATTTGTTTATTTATAATGTTATTTGTAAATAACTGCTATGATAATGTATAAATTTTTATTTAGAAAAGTTCTTAATATTTATGTATTAATAAGCTACTTTTGTATTGAATGTTAATTAAAAATCTATTGACCTACTAGTAAATTATTACTAAAGATTTATTCCTCTTCTCCTCTCACCAACAATCTCTTGCTTCTCTCACGACAACCAACTTCACGGTAGTCACATTTTTTCTACATACCGACGCATTCTCCATGATCATCATCATATCCTCTCTTTTTATCTGTGCACTTTCTTTCTTTACAATAAAAGCACTTCTGTTGCCGAATAACATATTGCCTTCACCAGCTGTCTTTAATCTCTAATAAGTGGTTAATGACAACGAGGAGAAAGGCACAAAAAGTCAATGGAGCCATTCGCTTCCATTTTTATTACTGAGGATTTGAGAACACAGGTAGGATCATGCTGAATCTCAATAAGGACCTAGGAATGGTGATTGCATTCTTGGTGGCCAGAGGAACATAAGAGAAAAGTGGTGAATGATGAATGGTGGTGATGGACCTTAGAGTAAATTACCATTATACATTAATTTAAACTAAATAACTATCCTGATCTGTTTAATTCATGAAAATCTTAGAATTTAGGGTATTAAATTGTTTTATCAAGAAAAAAAAATTGTCTTTAGTATTTTCTTTAAAAATGCTTATCTAAGTTTCTATTGTTTGTAGTGCAATAACATAAATATTTTTCTTTAATTTTTTTTAAAATTTATTTTTATTTAGAGGATGTTATTGTAAAGACCTGATACTAAAATGAGACACAAAATTTTAGTATCTACAAATTAATTTGACCTAAATTACTATTGTCATATGTTAAATTGTTAGAATCTTAGATATAGAAAATACTAAATTTGTTTTATTTAGTATAAATAAAAAAATATCTTTAGTATTTTCATAAAAATGTAATAACATAAATATTTTCTTAATTTTAAAGTCTTTTTTAGGATCTTTAACGTTTTGTTTTTATTTTAATATTATGTTAAAATCATTTTATTTATTCTTACTCTACAAAATACACATGTATTTATGAATAAAAATATTTATAAGCATATAACTTTCAAAAAAAAATAAAAAAATAAAAGTTTATAAATATTTTGAAGGATAAAAATTGTCTACCACCACAACCAAAGCTCACGCGGGTTTCAAGGTCTAGGTTCGACACTCTATGCTGCCAGTAGGGATAAGGGACAGAAACAAAACAAAAATAAGGGCGACAAACCATGCAATAGTAGAAGCTGAATATTACCCTATACAAAAATCAAAACTAAGGACGACAAACCAAGACAAATCTGAAGGCACACAAACATGTGCTTCTTCGCTGGGCTAAACTGGAGGACTCTTACGTCATTTCAAAATAGAGTTTCTGTCACTTCACATGCAAGTCAACGGCCATCCAGGGTGGCCAGGCCATGAAAGCCAGCGGAGGTTGGGATTAATTTTAAAGCCAGAAATGTCTTCTTTTTCTGGGTTTAAGACAATACGGTGTCGTGTCCACAGTTAATTAGTTTCTTTTTTTTTTTTTTTAATTTTTTCCAATAATCTCAGTTTTTCTAAAATTAATTTATAAGATGTTTAGGAAATATTTTATTTCGAATTAACCCACGCTATGCTCAGAATATATTTATAATTTTTATATAATTTATTTATTAATTTATATACATTTAGTATTTAGAAGTTAATTATTAAGGTAATTTTATTTATATATTTTTGAATAAAAATTTATGTATTTTAATAATTAGATAGTACTTATTTATATTATCATTAATGAAATTAAAATTAAACGGGATTCACCTTACTTTAAAATTCGTTTTAAAATGATAAAAAATTAATCTCACATATAATTTTATGTGCAACTAAAATAACATATCCTAAATTTAATAACATTTGGTCAAATTTAAAATATATTATTTTAATTAGAGATAAAATTTAGTTTTTATTATCTCCTAATAAAATGTAAACCATTTCTTAATTAAGTAAAAATTTATAAATAAATTCTATAAAATGTATAAATTAGACTAAATTCGAAGCTGTGCTAAATTCCTGAGTGAAATGTTTAACTAATGAGTTGAAATCAATCTTAAAGAGGTTCTATTCCGTAAAAATAAATTAATTTTTTATCAATTAACCAGGTTCTTCCTCCCAACCAACCAAACCTCCTATGCCCATGATGCCTTGTGATTTACTATAAGTGTAAGGAAAAGTCGCATTCAGTGTGAATCAATGACAAGGAGGCTAAAATCGTCATTGTACTAAACGTGAGCCCCAAACTAAAAATCCAATAAATAATAATAATAATAATAAAGAAAGAAACGCACCGTTTTCAGTGGAAAGATGGCTGAAAAAACCAGCTGGAGAACTTTTCTGCCTAACCAAACACGAAGATCCACCAGCGCTACTTTGCGCCATCTCACTCAAGTCGTAGGATCTCTTCAACGCGCCTTTGCGGTGCTCTTTTGGATCGATAGATGAGCTGACTTTGCAAGTTGATTCCGAGGTCAGCGAAGAAGAATCACCGGAGAAATAATGTCCAACGAGGTTCGGTTGGAGCGGTGATCCGAGCGTCGAGAATTCACGGCTAGTTCCAATGACAGATTCGACGGCGGAGTTAAGGAGCGATCCTGGAGCGGAGCCGTACCGGATTAGGCCGCTCGGGACTGTTGATTTCTGTGGGGAGGAGGAGGAGGACGAAGGATACATGGTTCGTTTGTCTGTTTTTGTCAACAGAAAATTATGAAAACCTACAGAACGGAATTAAGTTTTGCAAGAACAGAGAGAGAGAGAGAGAGAGAGAGAGAGAAAGAAAGAAAAGGGAGAAACGAGCATTCCCCGCTGTTCTAAAAGGAAAATGAACGTTCGTTGATGGGAGGATGCTTGTTGGGGAAAAGTCTTATGAGGGAGATATGATTGTGTCACCAGGAGGTGAGCTATCGCCGTCACGTTCTTATTATTATTATAATTATTATTACCATAACTCTTATTATTATTTTATTTTGTATGATTTTCTCGTCACGTGCTAAAGTACACTGACCAACCTTTTCTCCGGTGAGACTTCTTGTTTATGTTTTATTTATATATAAAAATGGGTGGTAATTAACCCTGACACAACTTTTAGATCAAAATATTATATCTTTAATATTATAAATTTATTTTAATTTAAATATGTACATATCCAGCATATATTTTTATGCACAAGTAATAATCATCAATACCACATTTTAAATTTTTATTTTCTAATATTTAAATAATATTCAAAATTCTTAATTTGAATTCTCAAAATTCTTATTTTTTAAAATAATATTTAAAATATAAAAATAAGAAATTTCAATAAATAATTATATAATTTTGAGTAATTATATAATTAATAAGAATCTAATTTATTTCCAATTAGTAAGAAACAATGAATCTATAATTTATTTCAATTTTTTAAAATATAAAAATAGAATTTAAATTTTTAACTAAAGAATAATGGAATAAAAATACTGTATATTTGATTTTTAAAATATTCCTGTGTAAATATATAAATAAAATTTAAATAATACTCAAAATTATTAATTATAATAACTATTTAATAAATATTTATCATATTCATGTTTTTAATATAATTTGTATATATCTGATTAAAATAAAAATGAAAAATATAGTTATTACTTGTAATAAACAGAAGTTTGATTCAAAGGTCAGTTATTAGCTAATTAAAATTTTAATGCAAATCTTTCGTTTTCATACATTTATTGTTACTTAGCATAATATGTTCATATTTTGTATGTTAAATTATGAGTTTGAACTAACTAATATATTTGTAACTAAAATATATAAGTATAACAATTTATTTTATAAAAAATAAACTGTCTATGTTAAATATAAATTATTCACTTCAGTAATTTTTTTTTTTTAATGAAAATTTATTACTATTATGTCTTTATAACTAAAATTATATATAACACAAATCTAGATACTTTGGAAAATTTATGATATATATATATATATATGTCCTACTTTTTTACTACTATTTTAGTTTGTCTACTAGAATAAGATCCAATTAAATTTGAAACACTCTGCCATCAATAATTCATATTGGGAGAATAGCTATTTTTTATCTTAATTTTATTTTTGCTATATCTATTACATTACTTTATTATTTACATTTAATAAATTTGTTTATGTAATCCAATTTATGTCTTTCTTTTTAGTTTATAAACCTTGTGTTGATATTTTTATATCATATCTTCTAAAAGATTGAGTGTCTTTTTTTTTTCCTTCAAATCATTATACAAGAGCATTTAGGATAAAGATTATGGTTGTAACACCTGAATCCGAAAATTTAGCCCGGGATAATTTAATATTGATAAAATAATAAATCAAAATGATTTAAATTTTTAATTCTTTTTAATTTTTGTTAATTTTGGAGAAAATATGGATTTAGGATGAGATTGAAATTTATTTTGAAAAAATTGGGTGAAACTGTGAATAAGAAGGGGTTATTTGAAAGAGAAATTTAAAATAGGGAGTCAAATCGCAAATAAAAAGAATACGAACCACGTGGGACGGCAACATCAGCAGCAACGATGAGTCAGAATGCCGCATGGCGGACACGCTGGCATCGGTTCCATACGTGAGCCATGCAGGTGATCTGCATGCCTAGACGATCCAATCGCCCATATTCGTTTCCTCTTCAGATACGATCAGACGACTAGATTTGATCGTGATGGACGACCCAGATTTAGACATGGATCAGCCTAAACGAGCTTCAAATCGGACAAACCTCCTTGCTGCACGTCGACGTGAGTGAATGGTCAGGATTAAGAGAAGAGAGGTACTTAAACCTCTCTTTAGCGGGCTCCCAAAACCCTAACTGACACCCTTGATCGGAGGAGAAGAATAAGGGCGGTCGGAGGGAAGCTCAGCCACCGGAGGGACACTGTCGTCGCCGCACTGGAGCCACCCCGAAGCCGAAAAAGGTAGAATTTTTTCCCTTATGCTTGGAATCGAATTTTGAACGTCCCCACACCCATATTAGAGCAAAAAGTGCAACGAGTGAGTCGAAAAATACGAGCAAAGCTCGGCCAAGCTGTTGTAGCTACAACCCAAAAACCTCTTCGATGACCCCCTTCTCGTTTTTCATTTCCCGTTTCTCTCAATTTTTTTACCATCGTATTCTTCGTTTCTTTCTAGTGTAGGTTAGCCGAAGAAAAATCCTGACTGCAAAAGAGGAACGGTGAAGCCATTGCACCGGGAGACCCCTCTACTAGTAAGATCTCGGTTTTCTCCTTTTCCGGCTGACAGAGGCTCCCTAACCTTATTTTTCGTAGGTTTCCATGCTGACAGAGGCTCCCTAACCTTATTTTTCGGGCAAAACTAGTCTAAACTAGCCGAAAATAGCCAAGTCGAGAGGAACTACTGCCATGGACAGCGAAGCCGGTGCCAGAGCACGACGCGCCATCGTGCCGGAACCCTAAATCGGCCGAAAAAGTTCAAAAACACTTATTTTGACTTTTTTGGAGTATTTTTAGATACATGACATGTATTTTTTATTTCTACAGGAAAAACTTAAAAAGACCGAGAACCGTCAAAAGGTGCAGTGAAAAGTACATAATTTTGAACGCCGATCCAGGATAAGAATCTCTCACTTTTTTTTCCATTATGGTGAATTAAAGTTTAATAATTAATGACAGTGTGTTTTCTAAAAAGTAGAAAATCTTAAAATTAATTACAAGTCACCAGTGGAGCCGGTAACTGGTCCGTACGAAATTACCTATTTTGTCTATACTGTTTATCTATTACTAGGATATATTTGTTGGCTTGCCGCGTGTACTTTTATTTGTAGATTTATTTATCTTCTCATTATTGATTGCTTAACTGTTTCTCTCATTTGTTGATTGATTAAAATAAATGTGCTAATCACATTTTCTTGATTTACATATTGTTTATTTGCATGACTTACTGTTGATTGGTAAAAATGAGATGTTGGTATGAGATTGATGATTGGTTGATGGTGTGGAACATATGAAAGGTTTATTGGGCACCTTGGGTGTACGGACTCGGTGCATAAAGAAAATCCTACCGTGGACATTACCATAGTCTAACAGGGTTGAGAAGTCTCATACTTGAAGGGATTAGGAGGTATAGTTCATCCTCATAACAAACGAGATATTAAGACAGTAATATGTTTGGTGTCCATTATCGGACGGGATATGGGAACAACTGGTTAATTGATAAATTGAATATTGGGTCCACGCATATTGGGGATCTCTATGGACCCCTAGAGGTATTAGTAACCATGTAAGAAATAAGTTTATTGTTATTGCTCATTTGAATATTCAATCAGAACGATATTCAGGTTATTAT